TCGTACGTCGATTGTTGTTACATTATCGTTCTGATTGAGGTATTGTAATCGAATTGAATCCATATTATCAAATTAATTTTTGCGACCTTCCTACGCGTGTACATGCACTTGCTAAGTAATTCCTGCAAATTCCGTGTATACGAGTATATTCTCCTCTGATTAAATTGATCAAACAAGGTGCTTGTTCTACAAACGAACCATTAGATATACAAGGTGTTCCTTAATGACATGCGAATATTTAAGGGTGTGAATCTACATGAAAAATTAATGTTAATTTGCTTTATAAATAAATCAAGGTCCAAAAATGTTTCCTTGCAAAAACTCGGGGTGTTGAAGTTTTAGAAAAAAAAATGGAAATTAATTCATATTTTCAGAACCGCTCCAGATATTTCACTGATATTTAGTACGTAGTGAAAGTTAATAAAGTTGCCCGTTTTTCGATGGAAAAATATTTTTTAAGAAAAAAATGGTACGCCAATGGTTTTTTGCCAAATAAAAATTATTTTCGAATTTCCCGTTCAATTTAAAACAAATGATCTATCCTCAATTATTTTCCTACGGTGCGCCATTTATTGAGTAAAAAAATAAAAACCGTTCTATTGTCTAACTTGCAAAATTATTATTAATTTGATTGGGAAAATTAAACACATTAGGGGTAATGAACAACAACAACTGACAACATAAACATAACATTAAAACCAACGAAATGATTACAAAATTTTGATACCAATCATGCAACTTTCAAAGTTTCCATTGCCGGATTTTATTTGTCAATAATTGCCGTAATTTATGTTATTCGCAAAACAGTTATAGTGCGCACTATTTGCCGTCTGTCCCCGATCATACCACTGTCATTTAATATGTGTGCATTACAGATTTATCTAATATCTAAGAGCTTAGTTAAGATTTAATTACGAAGTGCATGACAGGGCTGTTAGGAATCGTTATAGTATCAGAACCACCCCACACACTTCTGCATTATTCCAACGAGGATTTACATATAATGCAGCACTATTTTATAATCAGTTGGACAACAGTATTAAATTGATGTCTTTGGAAAGTTTTCGTAAACATACTAAAAGCATGTTGCTCGCTATTGATTAAATAAGCATTTCTTCTACAGATATAGATTGTGTCTATTTGTATTTTATACTTAGGTATATATGTGTTCTTTTTTTATTGTTCTTATATTTTTTTTCCATGTTTTGAACATCAGATGTGACCGACATAAACAGTTAAGTGTAAGTAGCCTTGGCTAAACTTCGCTGTGTATGTTCCTCCGGGTTATCCAATAAAGACGTTATTATTATTATTATTATCTAAGAGATTTGGAACTTTCAAAATTGCTGGTCGAACTAAATTCACCATTACCCCCTCTTGGATCCGCGCCTAACACAACTACGCTTGATATAAGAAAGCTAATGTGTGGTGAAACGTGAGCGTGTACAAGTAAAAAAAATAAATGAAATAGTAATCACTGTTCAGTTGAATTGAAATTCCAAGTACGGCTCTGTCATAAAATCAGTATTTACATCGTAGTCGTACGTCGTATAACTGTACGCTGGCGCTGGCGCTGTGGACGTGATCGAGGGATAGGACAGGACCGGCTTCGGTTTGGTTCAGGTTTGATTGAGTTTGCGGAGCACAATATCTCGGTAGTCTTAAGACATTGGTGTATATGCTATGAAAAAAAAAACGCTTATCAGCAAGATCTACACGTCATGTAAAGGAAAACCCGAACTTTGCGGACACCCTCTATAATTTCTGATGTTACATCATGTGCAGTAAGAATTTCATAAATATAATTGCGTATAGTTAAAAATGTGGATATGGAAATATACAATGTATTACTTGACTACACTGATATGTTGATACTATTATAATGAACCGATAAAGCAACTATTTAAGATAGTAAAAACCATGATTGGTAATTTATTTCAAATAGAAAGTGATTGCCGAGTTTCTTGTAGAATGTGTTCATTTTATAAAGGGTGTTTCAGTTCATTGTTGCATAACTTTAAGATTCGTTAGAACTTTTAAAATTAATGCATAAACTCTATATAAACATGGGTCGAAAAATGCGTGGCTTCCAAATACAGGGTGTTTAAATTTACTTTCTAAAATAGTTTTTTTTAAATATTTCGAACAATATTTGATGTATAACAGTGAAAATTGGTATACAAGGGTTTTTTGGTACGACAAAACGAACCATGGGCCGCTAGAGGGCGCTCTCTACTGTACCTGTAGTGTATTAAAATGACCGAAAATTTTTTTTTTGTGCAGTTTTTTGCATTCTGAATAAAAAAACTGATTCTTCGCTTTTTTCAACATAAAAAATCTCTCCTGTGAGTTTTCGTAATACTTAGCCGTTTTTGAGATATTTCGATTTTTAAGGTTCGATGCATTTTTAATTATTTTTGGGAAAATAATATTTTTTTTACATTTTCTATTTGGGCATTACAAGTAATTAAGATGATCGTTTAGATTGTGTTTTTAAACACAGCAATAATTCCTAACTCCAAATAAACACAAAAAAAACAATATTAATTTGTTTAATTTTCCAATATTATTTTTAACAAATTAAATTAATTATTTACAACTAAAATCCTATTGGATAGTTAGGACAAACATACAAAATCTAAAATAGTTGCTCGAAATGTAAACCCAATCGTTCAATACACAATTCACATCTACGAATGATCGAACGTGGTATAGCATTATTCAAATAAGGCCTTATTTCATCACATGCATTCCTGATTCTGTCTATTAGCATATCTCTTGTTGTTACGGGAGTCTGGTACACTTTTTCTTTTAGAAATCCCCACACAAAGAAATCTAATGGATTTATATCAGGGGATCGTGGAGGCCAGGCGACTGGTCCTCCACGGCCGATCCATCTTTCTGGATAATTTTCGTCCAGCCAGTTTCTAACTATTCCCGAATAATGAGCTGGACAACCATCAAGCTGGAACCAGGCCAATCTAACATAACATCATCCCACATATTGGCATGTTCAGCCTTTAAAAATTCCTTGAAGGTCGCAGCATTTAACCTTGCAGGCAAAAGGTGGGGTCCAAATAGTCGATTACGGTAGATACCAATCCACACGATCACACTAAACTCATGCTGAAAATTTCTTTCCCGAACTGCATGCGGATTTTCATGCGACCAAATATGTTGGTTATGAAAATTTACCACTCCACGTCTAGTGAAGCATGACTCATCGGTCCATAAAACGTTACTTAAAAACTCCCTATTATTATCAGTTCTATCAAGAATCCACTGACAAAATGTGATTCTTCGTTCTCCGTCCCCTGGCTGTAGTCCTTGCACAGGTTGCAAATGGTAAGGACGTCTATGGTCATTTCTAAGAACACGGTGAACATGGCTTGCTGAAATTCTCCAGGCACCAGAAACTCTCCTAACACTTGTGGTCGGATTTCTATCAAACTCACGCAGAATCATACGGGTAAATCTGCGCTGACGAACATTTATGTTTTGATCCCTTTGGAGATTTCCAAAACCATTTTCAATTATTTGGCGATGCACTCTTACAAATACTGAGCGAGTTGGATGTCGTCTGTTTGTAAATCTTCGTGCGTATTCTCTGGCTGCTTCTGCTGCGTTTCCATTTACAAAGCCATACACAAAATGAATATCCGCTAACTCTTGATTGGAGAATAAAAATGGCATTTTTATAAAACTTACAAAAAAACAGGTAAAAGAAACTAAATTTCGTGCATTCACAATTGCAAAAAACGTTTCAGGTTTCAACAGACAACAAAACTAACTGTCAACTAATTGACGTTTAACCTTATTCTGCTTTCAATTTCAAAAATATTTGCAGGCACAGCCTACTTCTAAAAAGTATCGAGATACTGACTTTTTAACGTTATTTTATCATAAATAATTAAAAATGCATCGAACCTTAAAAATCGAAATATCTCAAAAACGGCTAACTATAACAAAAATTCACAAGAGAGCTTTTTTATGTTGAAAAGTGCGAAGAATCAGTTTTTTTATTCAAAAAGCAAAAAATTGCACTAAGGAAAAATTTTCGGTCATTTTAATACACTACAGGTACAGTAGAGTGCGCCCTCTAGCGGCTACAGTAAAACTATGGTTCGTTTTGTCGTACCAAAAAACCCTTGTATACCAATTTTCACTGTTATACATCAAATATTGTTCGAAATATTTGAAAAAAACTATTTTAGAAAGTAAATTTAAACACCCTGTATTTCGGAAGCCACGCATTTTTCGACCCATGTTTATATAGACTTTATGCATTAATTTTAAAAGTTCTATCGAATCTTAAAGTTATGCAACAATAAACTGAACCACCCTGTATATGTTCAGAATTCGTTGGAATTATTTTTCTGCGATTAATTTTCAGGACGCACCAAGAACCTCATTGCGTTGTTAAACGCCAAAGCTTACTTACAAGTCCCAAGGAGGTTGCTTCCATTTAAAAAATTCGGATTCATTTAAAGGTTCTTAGGGAAAATGAAGAACCATAAAGCATTTCACGTGATCCTTCTGCGTTCTTTAACAATTCCGAGAAGCTACCCTTCATTCTTAGACACTATTTACATTTTGTTTCTCAGTCACTACTGAGGTATTTTGTATGATCTTACCACATCTTTACATACATTTCAGTTCTGTTGACCAGTGTGGAATGCAATTATTTTTGTTCTGGTTCACCCTGTATAATGACTTGGAAACTGGCTTAAAATTGATGACCTTGCCTGATAGGCTAACAAATTCTGCTATGCTGCTGCCGAATGTGACCATTTTTATGCTCACATAGGTGTATACAAGTATGCTTTATTCTTTATAATATTTTTTTGTCTCCTTTGTTTTGAACATCTAATGTAACCGACATAAGCAGTTAAGTGTAATAGTAGCCTTAGCTAAACTTCGCTGCTCATGTCTCTTTTGGTTGTTTGTATTTAAATAAAGACGTTTTTATTATTATTACTGACGATATTTCTTGTTTTCAGGTTTAATAGCAGTAAACAAAAACTTAGAGGAAGTACAAAAGTGGGTAGGCGAAAGGATGAACAAGGATCAGAAAATCGGCGCCGCAACGGGCAAACTACGTAACTTCATCATCGAACCATTTGTACCACACAAAGACAACGAAGAAAACTACGTATGCATCTACTCACACAGACATGCCGATACGATACTTTTCTATCATCAAGGAGGTGAGTATTTTTCTGCCCTAGTAGTTTCAACTCATTTTGTACTTTGTTATTTCTATCGCCTGTCCGCTAGAACTTTGGTAACCGCGTAACCTCAGAAAGGACCGGCTGATTTTTATATAACATGGGAAACGATATGCTGTTGTAAGCAATTCTGCCACATTTTTGAAAAAAACGGTGCTTCTTTCACCGTTCGCCTATTGCAAAATTATTTGAGCTATACATTTTATTTAATATGGTTTTTAACAAGTGGTGATAATGTTGGTACAGGTTTTTATTTCGTACTGAATACATCTCTTTTTTCGCTTCAGGTGTGGACGTTGGTGACGTCGATAGCAAAGCCCTAAAACTGGATGTACCAGTAGGACAAGAAACCGACGAGGCGACCATCAAGAAAACTCTTCTGGGCGAGGTGCCAGCAGCAAAGAAAGATATGATCGCAAAGTTCGTCTACAACTTGTACAAGCTTTACGTCGATCTGTACTTCACCTACCTGGAAATCAACCCCCTGGTTGTAACAGACAAGGAAATCTACATTCTGGATCTCGCCGCCAAGTTGGACGCCACTGCCGATTTCATCTGTAGACCACAGTGGGGAGAGATCGATTATCCTCCTCCATTTGGAAGGGATGCTCTGCCGGGTAAATAAACAGATATTTGCTTTTCCTCTTGGTATAGCAAGCGTCTCAATCTCAGCTGGAACACTTAAAAAAGGAATGTACGAGTATACCGTCAAACTTTTTCGAAATTTACGTTGTTTGTTGAAGACATTAATGGTACAATCTCAATTTTTTACAATTATTCGTGTACACGTTTTTTTAATAAATTTTCTGTAATTTTACATCCTTGTCTATTTAAATTACATCTCGTTACATTTGAGTATTCATAAAGTGACTTTTTAATTTCACCTTAAAAATTTTTAAATTCGAACACTGTTTAATATCATTATTTAATTTTGAAATTCTCGAAATATAGGCTTGTTAGTTATGCTATTACAATTTTGCAGATGAAAATCTATACTGCCTCTAGTTTTGTAGTTGTGATTTTTTTAATTTGGATATAAAAATGAAAACTAAATAACAAATACAATTTTTTTCATTCAACTGTAGTTCTTCTAACACCCCCATCTTAGCGTGTTTGTGTTTATTTAAAATGAATCTCAGGTTTATTTTGTAGAATTTCTAATTTTGAAAATATGTTTTCATTTGCTGTAAACGAGGTGGTTGAACAGTATAAAAACTTGGGAAGAATTAAAGTGTTATACACATTTTTTTTTTTGGAATACATACTGAGATTATGAAGAAGTCATTTATCTTTTTGGATATTTTTGAAAAAATGTATTCATAATACTCTTGAAACATTCGTTTACTATCCCAGATATTTGAATGACTTAACTACTTCAATTTTTCATCATTAATCATGAGTCACCTGAATGTTTGCCCATTGACATAAATTTTGTTTCATTACATAGCATTAACTTTTGTTTTGGGTTCTGTAGCTTGAAAAGTACAGAGAACAAATGTATACTAAATTTTTCAGTTCATCATCTTTCATTCTTACGTTGAAACTTGATTTTCGTGGGTATAATCCAAACTTTTCTCTTTCCAGAGGAGGCATACATTGCCGACTTAGATTCCAAATCTGGTGCCAGTTTAAAACTCACAATTTTAAACAAAAAAGGTCGGATTTGGACTATGGTGGCAGGTGGAGGCGCGTCAGTAATTTACAGTGATACAATCTGTGATCTTGGAGGTACCAAGGAGTTAGCTAATTATGGAGAATATTCAGGTGAGTTTTTTCATTACAAAATATTTGCTGCTGCGTTAATGAAACTTTTGAATTGTTTTTAGAATTGTTTTAACTATAACTCAAACATTTTTTTATTTGTAATAAGTATACTAAGTGACATATAAATCCGAACACCCAGTTTAAATGGTTTTATTTTAATAAAATTTTGTATAAGTACTTAATGAAGCATAATAAGTAAATGATAAAAATTTCAAAATGATTGCACTGCTTTAAAGCTCTTTGACCTTTAATAATGTGTGGATGCACCCTGATGTGCTACGCATTCTCCAACGCGCCTAGGCATGCTTCTGATCAGGTGGTCAATGTCCTCCTGTGGTATCCCATTCCAGGCAACCACCAACTCCTCTCGAAGTGCTTCTAGAGTCTGAGGAGGACGTTGCAAATTGAGCAATCTCCTACCCATCATATCCCACACGTGCTCAATTGGGGATAGGTCGGGAGATCTTGGTGGCCATGGTAACAATGTGACATCATTATGTTGAAAGAAGTCTATTGTGACTCTTGCAACATGTGGTCGGGCATTATCTTGTTGGAAGGTTGGATCTGCCAGGGTGTCAAGATAGGGTAAAAGATGGGGTTCTAGAACTTCGTGGATATAACGCTGCGCGTTCATGTTACCTCTGATGAAGATTAAAGGTGACCTGGAACCATAAGCTATAGCACCCCAAACCATAACTCCAACAGTGTGATGAACATGTCTTTCAACAAAAAACTATGGATTCCTCCTTTCACCACGTCGCCTTCTAACCCTGGCACGACCATCATGCAAGCCTAAACAAACTCGAGACTCGTCACTAAAGACAATAGTATACCATTCCTGATCCCAGAGTGACCGTTGTCTGCACCACTCAAGGCGATTACGTCGGTGTTCTCGAGTTAAAGGGAGGACCCAGTGTGGCCGGTATGAAAAACAAGCCAAAACTTCTTATTCGTCGGTAAACACTTCGCATGCCAATAGGTCTTTCGTGTTCTGCAAACCATTCATTTGCAATGGACCTGGTAGTGGAGAAACGGTCCCTTTAGGCCAATAATCTTAGACGGCGATCTTCACGGTCTGTTGTTCTACGGCGGCGTCCAGTGCCCCTTGCTCTTTGCGTACGGCCTTCTCGAAGCCATGCCTGACAACACCTAACCACAGTGTCTACACTTCTTTGCACTCTAACTGCAATTGCCCGAAAAGAAAGTCCAGCTTCCCGAAGTCCCACTATACGGCCCCTATCAAACTCACTAAGTTGACGAAATCTGTACTCTAGGCATCGTAACCGATCGTAAAGGATGTCAATAACCAAAATCCGCCAACGTTGATTCTTTACTGCGGCTGAAATATTCATTTTTAGAGCGTTAGTGAATTAAAAAAAGCAGTATAAAAACCGGAATGTCCAGCTGATAAGGCTGAACATTTTTTCACTTGTTATTTACAGTAAGATAAATACATTCACCAACTTTTATTAAAATAAAACCATTTAAACTGGGTGTTCGGATTTATATGTCACTTAGTATATTCAGGAATTGTGGTTGATTCAAAGTTGAGGTAATTTAGGAGCCTTAAGTTCCTATTTTAAAATGTTGATTCACAATATAATCATTCTACCCCACTTCCTAAATTGTTCTACAATTTTATTTTCAGTGAATACTTCAATAGTTGATAGGTTATACAGGGTGGCCAATATACTGACTGATTTGAATTACCGTGATATGGTGCAAAACTTTGCGGCTCCTCAGATCCAACAATTTAACCTCCAAAATATGTGGTTCCACCAGGACGGAGCAACTTGTCACACAGCTAGGGAAACAATGAATCCTTTGCGAACAATACTGGTTTGTCCAATAGGGACGCAGGAAAGTAAACGTCAATTTGACATAGACGCCATCTTTGTTTTCTGTCACCGACATGTCATTTTGTTAGTTGAATGTTTACCATTGATCGCTATGGAGTCGTATTCGATTGAAGACCGCATTAAAGTTATTCAAGAGCACTACAAAAATGGTGCAAAAATAAAAAACACGTTTCTCGCGCTTCGTGAACATTTCGGTCGCAACAACCACCCAAACGAAACAGCCATCGGTCGTCTGGTGCGTAAATTCGAGGCAGCAGGTTCTGTGGCAAATCTGCCAGGCTCTGGCCGGCCAAGGAGCGTTCGCACACCGGAAAATATTGCTGTTGTGAAGGAGAGTGTGAGAGACGATCCGAATCAATCAAAAACGCGTCTATCCCAAGAATTGGGCATTTCGAGAACCAGTTTGCTCCGCATTCTCCACAAGGATTTGAATGTACACGCCTACAAGATCCAATTGACGCAAGAGCTGCGTCGGGCTGACCATTTTTCGCGCCGAACGTTCTCAGATTGGCTCCTTGAACACCGCCAAATTGATGCCAATTTTTCATCAAAAATAATGTTCAGCGACGAAGCGCATTTCACTTTGAATGGGACGGTAAACACCAAAACTGCCGCATCTGGGCGAACGAAAATGCCCGTGAGTATCAAGAGCAGCCGATGCATCCTCAAAAAGTGACTGTGTGGTGTGCATTGTGGTCAAAAGGCAACATCGAACCTTACTTTTTCGAAAATGCGGCCGGGGACGCCGTTACCGTCAATTCTGAGCGATATCACGTGATGATAGAGGACTATTTTTGCCGCAACTTGAAGGAATGGATATGGACGATGTTTATTTCCAACAAGACGGTGCAACATGCCACACAACCAACGTCAATATCCATCGATTGCAGTCCTTCTTCGGTGATGCGTGATTTCGCGCAGAGGAAATGTGCCATGGCCACCAAGATCGTGCGATTTGACTCCCTTGGACTTCTTTTTATGGGGATATTTGAAAAGCAAACCAGCCACCCTCCAAGAACTCAAAAACAACATCATTGCCGAGATAAATGCCATAGAACCGACCATGTTGCAAAATGTCATTGAAAATTTCGACCATCGCGTGGACGTCTGTAAATCCAGTCGTGGTGAACATTTGAGCGATATTATTTTTCATACATAAATGGTATAAATGAACCTTCAAAATAAAGTACCCAACTTGATTTGAATATCAATCTTTCTTGTTTTAATATGCGTTTACTTTCCTGCGTCCATTTTGGACAACCCCATATTTCCGGGACGTTTAATTTCTCGATTTGGTGATTTCAACTTGACACCAAGGTCACCGGATTTAACGGCTCCTGACTTTTTTATGGGGATTTTTTAACAATAGGGCTTATGTCAACAAACCAAATACTGAAGAATAATATTACGGAAGCCATTTAAAATGTTCCTCCCGAAACCTACCAAAAAGAATAAAAAAAAAATTTTTTCTGTTTTTTTTTCAAAAAACCTTTTTTTTGGTTTTCTTTTTCAAAAAACCTGGGTTTTGACGAATAGGCCCAAATTTTCAAGAAGCATATAATCCCGAAATATTGTCATCAAAAACGCTATCGCTCTTTGCAGGCGCGCCATCGGAGCAGCAGACCTACGAATACGCCAAAACGATCCTGGGCCTGATGACGCAAGAAAAACACCCGGAAGGCAAAGTGCTCATCATCGGAGGCGGTATCGCCAATTTCACGAACGTGGCGGCGACATTTAGAGGAATCATCACGGCGTTGGTCGAATTCAGGGAAAGACTGATCGAGCACAACATCAAGCTGTTCGTCAGGAGGGCTGGACCCAACTACCAGGAGGGATTGAGAAGGATGAGAGAGGTCGGACGAACGTTAGGTAAGCATAGATGAAAAATAGGTGAAAAAAAGTTTTGCAGATACAGTAAAGTTTGGAAACAAATATTAACATTATTATTAACTATTTCATAAACCTAAATTAAAATTGCGAAGCAACAGATAATATAAATACACTGGTCAACAAAATTTTAACTTTGTCGTGCCACACGGACTTTTTTGATATTTTTTACTTTAATTGGTGATTGTAAGAAAAAATAAACATTTGAAAAAAATTTGCTAGACAAGGATTTTATTCTATTGAGTAATTTAAAATATTAAGAAAAAACACAGATCTCGTAAATCAAAACTTATTTTTTTTTATAAATGACTTAATAATCTAAGATTTTCTTGAATATTCAGCTTCTGGTTGGTCCCTTTTAATTGTCCAGCAGTAATCTGCTAACATATTTGGGCTCCATTTGCCCTGGTACCGCTTTTCCATATTAGAAATGTCCTGATGGAACCTCTCACCGTGCTCGTCGCTGACAGCCCCTAAATTGTCAGGAAAAAAATCCAGGTGCGAGTCTAAAAAATGGATCTTAAGTGACATGTTGCAACCCAATGCTTGATATGACAATAATAGCTTGCTAACCAACTCTCTGTAGCTGTCACTCTTGTGGTTACACAAAAAATTTGAAACAACATTTTTATAAGCCTTCCATGCAGATGTTTCTAAATCGCTTAATTTTTCTTCATTTCTTGAATCTTTTATTAACTCCCTAATTTGAGGGCCAACAAAAATACCCTCTTTTATCTTTGCATCACTTATTTTAGGGAATTTTTCTTTAAGATACAAAAATCCACTACCATTACGATCCATTGCCTTCACAAAATTTTTTATTAATCCTAATTTGATATGCAATGGTGGTAGAAGCACATTATTTGGCTGTACAAGGGATAAATACTTTACGTTTTTTTGCCCAGGAACTAACGATGCACGCGTAGGCCATGTTTTTTTTATATAGTGATTAGTTCTGTCTCGGCTATCCCATTCACATAAAAAGCAGCAAAACTTTGTATAACCCAGCTGAAGTCCAAGTAATAGTGCAACAACTTTAAGATCACCGCAGATTTTGAAGGAATATGTACTGTAATTTATTTTTTCAAGTAAAAGTTTCATATTTTCATAGGTTTCTTTCATATTTGCAGCATGGGCCAGAGGTACAGACGGAAGCTTATTTCCATTATGCAATAACACTGCTTTTAGACTTGCTTTCGAAGAATCAATGAATAAACGCCACTGAGAGAGATCAAAATCTATGTCCAACATTTTCATAATCTCATTTATGTTTTTGCGAAACACCAAATCTCCATCCTGAGAAAAATACGTTCTGAAGTGTTAATCACGGTTTCGAAAATAGCTAACTTTTGTATTATGATGTAGCAAATTCCATTCTTTTAGACGTGATCCTAATAGTTCTGACTGCTTTTTTGACAAATTTAAATCCCGAACCAAATCATTTAGGTCTCCTTGAGTTATCAAATGTGGCTCGTTTACAATTCCTTTTATCTCAAAGTCATCGTCCTCGTCAACACATTCACCTGAAGTGGACGGTTGTGAATTGTTCTCAACAGACGTAGTTGCAACTGGTATTAGTTCTGGCAATTTTTTACAATGAGAGACTGGTCTTATAGCCGAAGATAAGTTAGGGTAAATAACTATGGTTTTTTTCTTGTAATTTATACCTATTATGTCTGTGAGACAAAAATAGCAATCTGAAACGTGATCTCGCTGTTCAGTCCATATCATGGGTACAGCAAACGGCATATGTCGTGCACCTTTCTTCCAGTCAGTTAAAATTTTTACACACGTTATGCAATAGACATGAGGGGCCCAGGATTTGTCTTGATGGGCGACAGAAAAACCAAAACATTGGTGATAACACTCCAACACAAGATTCGTAAAATTTCGTCGTTGTTTTTTGAATGTTAGTTCTCCGCAGTCATAACAAAAAGAGTTAGGATCATTATTACACTTCCTCGACATATTCACAGGGTTAATAAATCACAAAAAAGTGTTCAAATTCAACAACAAATATTTTTATAAGGATTTACTTGTGAGCGTTTCTGTTAATTTACTGCCGTAGTACTAGTTATGAGTGTTACCGTATCACAACAAATATGAGGCTAATAGACATATTACAGCTGTCATGTAATAATGAGGGTAGACTGATAAAACAAAATTAGCTGTCAAAGTTCGTGTGGCAGAACCAGTGTTGAACAGTGATGTTAAAGTCTACCTTTGGTCCCGTATTAATAGTCTAATCATATTAGATGAAAATACCCGTGGTCAAACATTTCGTATTTGTGAGTGATTCGCAACGAAAGATGATAGACACATCCACTTTGTTTTAAAATGTGTATAGTAACGTATATTTTCGAATATCGTAGCGCATTTGTTCAATTACTCACAAATACGGAATGTTTGAATTTGTTTGGAAGAAAAAAACGCAACCTTTGTTTTTCGCATAAAAATAACATTTGTCTTTCGGAATGGTTTGTGATTCATATGGACAAGGTAAACACGTGTATTTTGCTATTAAATGCGCTTTGAACGAACTTTGTATATTGCTTTTTCGGCGATAACATTTTTGCTATTAGTCGGATCTTTTCACGTAATACCTAAAAATCTTATATGAAAAGTTTTTTCGTTCCTGCCAGCACTTCCGATTGAATCCCGAAAAACACGTTTTCTCATTCTTTGTCGTGAAATGAAAAGTTTTCCCACAAAAATTGGTGTACCCATTTTATGCGTCCATGTTTTAAATACCTCCTTAAACAATTTGCAGCGGACTTTACAATAATTTCGAGGAAATTTGCTAATATGATTAGACTATAATAAGGTTTATAATATTTTGAACAATTATCAGGATTAATATTCTTGCTCCAATAATATCAAAACAATCATTAAGCGCACTTAATTCATAGAAAATTTTAAATACCTGGGTTTTTTTGTTGACTCTCGATTAATTATGAAAAAGTTATAAATAAGATTAGTAGTAAAGTGGGATATTTATCAAGAGTTTCTGGATGTCTGATTTCATATAGCAGAAAAATTATCTATAATACCGTTATTCTTCCAAATTTCTTGTACTGTTCTATATTTCGCAAATAATTCCATTTTTGAAAGACTGCAAATTTTACAAAATAAGGCCATGGGCATAATACTGAATAAAGATAAATATTCTCCAATTAGACAAATGCTTAGCAAATTAAAATGGCTCAATGTAAACATTTTTATCAAATATCTTGCAATGATATTCATTTATAAAGTAAAAAATAATATATTTCCATCAAATTCTTTTCCTGAAAATTTGAAATGCTCTACAATAACACCAGTTCCCAAAATAAGGAATTCTAAAAGATGCAGCGATATGAGACCAGTAAATGTGTTACCAGACATTGAAAAATTATTAGAGTCCATAGTGCATGACCAATTAATGCAGTTTATAGAAAAAAAAAATTTAGTGGAGGCGCAAGCAGGCTTTCGAAAAAAATATTCCTCAGAAACGGCTTTTCAGTTGATAACTGAGAATTGGAGAAGAGCCATAGACTCAGAAGAAGTTGTCATAGCTGTATGTAGGAAGTGTTTTAGATTGGTTTAGAAATATTTGTCTAAAAGAATGCAAGTTACAAAAGTTAATGACACTATTTCATCAAAAATTGAAAATACGTTGGGTGTTCCACGGGGCAGTATCCTGGGACCACTTCTTTTTATTTTATACATAAATGATTTATCTGCCATAGTCAAAAAATGCAAAACTCGGACTGGTATCTCTTATATAAATGAAGACTGTCTCAAAATGGTTACCATCTAACAGACTCACATTAAATTCAAGTACAACGAAAGCTATGTTAATCGGAAAAAAACAATGTACAAATGTCCAACTGAATATTGATGGTGAAGATATTGAATTCGTAGAAAATTTTAAATACCTGGGGGTTTTTGTTGACTTTCGATTAATTTTTGATATTTATTATGAAATAAATAAGATTAGTAGTGAAGTGGGATATTTATTAAGAGATTCATATAGCAGAAAAATTATCTATAATACCGTAATTCTTCCAAATTTCTTGTACTGTTCGACTATTCTACATCTGGCAAATAATTCAATTTTTGAAAGACTGCAATGGCTCAATGTAAAATTTTTTATCAAATATCTTGTAATGATATTCATTTATAAAGCAAAAATTAATATATTTCCATCAAGTCTAACTAATTTAACATCATCAAATGCCGACCATCATTTACATAATACGAGAAATAAAGATGTCTTCCATTTAATGGCCAAAAAGTATAACATATATAATAATAATAAATTATTCACAGAGATAAAAGACCAGAAAATTTAAAGTAAAATTGAGGAATCACTTGTTAAATCTACAATTATAGCTTGCCCAGCATTTACATCATACATCATATGGCTTGAATTTACTAATTCTAAGTTGCTTACAATTATTCTGTTTATGTAGCCAAATGTGCTAAATAAATCTTTCTACTACTACTTTTAGACAAAATCTCACTCTTATTTTGATTTGATTTAATCTTTGATATAATCTTCTTGAGACTCACTGAATAATGCATTATAATCTGCATAGGTTGGGATCCCCGTCAATAATTGATCTTACAATGTTCTTGACACTTTCTTCGAAATAGGTATTCATTGGATCTGCTATTATTTCTTTATTTGTTATTACTCCATCGTCGAATTTCATTTCAGAGAATGTATTTTTTCTAATAAGAGAAACAATCTTTTTCGACGTTTTCCACATCTGTTTGCTATTATTTTTACTCTCATAATATTTTTTCTTTTCATCTCGAAGAAGTGCCACGGATTGGTAAAATGATCAGATATTTAGTCCGAATTCATTGGTTTCGACCGAAGCATCGGATTTCCAAAACAAATTTATTTTTATTTTATTTTCTTAGGTATCCCACTGTACGTGTTCGGTCCGGAAACGCACATGACATCCATCGTAGGCATGGCCTTAGGCACCCGTCCCATCCCCAAAGAGCTCAGCGTTGACACGGCAACGGCAAATTTTGCATTGCCTAGCGGGGAAAAAGAGCCGAACAAGCAGTGCCAGTCAGCCCAGCAGAGTACGACGAAACCCGTGAGGGTTACAGTTGCGGATGCCAGGAACGGCAGGGTAAGTCAGGTGTGTATGCATGCGAACAAATGATGTAGTCGTATCTTGAGACAATAAGGCTTTAACAGGTGTGGTAGTCAACAGAGTACTGAGTGATTTCGTGGATTAACACTGATATGTGATGGTAGTTGATTTTCACAGTAAGCATAGTAGACACAGTAGTTTGGTTCAAGCTAGCACCATGTATCTTCTTCCACGATTCCTTATTTTCATCTACGAACTCGGGCCAGCTCTGAGACAACGCAAAACTTCAATTTAGAAATTTCCATTCACTGTCTGATCGGGAGGGACAAATTCCTGGTGAACAATGCCCCGAGAATCAAAGAAAACGATCAACATTGTTTTCACATTAGATATTGATTTTTTCGACTTTTTTGTTCTCGGTTCTCCATCGAATTTGTAGAACCAAGACTCGTCTCCAGTGATGACCCGGTTCTGAAAGTCCCCCCTTTCCTCTGCTTCCAACCAATCCTCACAGCAAGCAACCCTCCTTGCTTTCTGTTCTTCAAGAACTTCGCAACGATTTTCGCGCACAATTTTTTCATTTCCTGCCAGAATGTCGTGGACGATTGTTTTGGGAATTGACAGTTCCTCAGCTATCATTCTAACTGTCAGTCAACGGTCTTTAAGAACACAGCCCCGATTTTTTTCTTTATTTCCCTCAGAGCCGATGCGGAGGGGCATCCTGAGCATTGGTAATGTTTCACATCTTCTCAGTCAACCTTTTCAACTACTTGTTGAAGATAGGTTCCTTCAGAGAATTGTCTCCATAAATTTGTTACTCAAAATTTCACGACCATTATTGCCTAGCTTTGCAAGAAACTTGATGTTGATGTGCTGTAAGAAGGGGTTACTGTCAACTAGCACCTGTAAATCCTACTTACTCGCACTGAGCATAGAGGGGATTGCATAGAGAGAGGGAACCACCGCGCCACCCCTCCACAACGTCTTGACCCGCCGCACCGAATTTTTTTATACGTATTTTCCGAACAAACCTCGTATATGGTATTAACAATAGCAGCTTTATAAGCCCTAAAAGTAAAGCTGGGCTAAATTGTTGCTTTTAGTGATACGATTCCAAGATTTCAATTCCTGTCTCGTAAGCGACTCTCTGGATTCGTTCACGATTCCTTATAGTTTCGATTCCGATTGGAGTAACTCCAAAAGATGCCGTCAGTGTTAATGAGCACTACAAAGACACGACACTACAGTCAAGTCTACAGGCACTCCACCGTTAGAATTCGGATTTTGCTTTTGATTTTAAAGATTCCAAATAAATGATTTACTATCCAGAAAATGTAGCTTAAATTGAACTGAAAATAAATGTGTTGATTGATCAAAATTTTTCTACAATTTTTATTAACAACGGTTAACTATATTTTGTTTGTGGGTTCAAGATTTATTTAGCAATATTGCTACAATTACTTTCTTTAAAAAAATACAATTATCGTAATGTGAAGTAAAACTTTTTTAATATTAAATGCTGATCGTTTTGAAATGTGTATGTCTGGACTGCAACGAAATAAGATGTTGTGTATGCATGTTTTTCTCTAATTGCTATCATAACACGTTAGTTTTTATTTTAATACTTTTTTCTTTTTCTCTAAACCTTTACTCTTTTCTTGTTGGTGGTTTGGGATGTTTCCTGTTTTCACGATCGTGTTGACTAATATTTTTTACGTTATTTTATGTAAATATCTTAATAGCTTTTGATTAAAGTGGTATGGTCGATAAAATTGTTTGTATTATTATACAAGGTGTTACTAAAACTCATTTCAACTGTCCCAAAATTATTGTGTTCATAAACAACATATCGATAGAGCACTTTATTTCACATATACAAGGCGAACAGAAATAATATTTTTGTCAAAAATTGTGTCTGGGGAAACCAAAAATTCGAAAATTTTCGCTTGCAAAACAATATTAAAAACGCTTTAAAATAAACTAATCTCAAAATATACTAAGTGACATATAAATCCGAACACCCAGTTTAAATGGTTTTATTTTAATAAAATTTTGTATAAGTACTTAATGAAGCATAATAAGTAAATGATAAACATTTCAAAATGATTGCACTGCTTTAAAGCCCTTTGACTTTTAATAAAGTGTGGAAGCACCCTGATGTGCTACGCATTCTCCAACGCGCCTAGGCATGCTTCTGATCAGGTGGTCAATGTCCTCCTGTGGTATCTCATTCCAGGCAACCACCAACTCCTCTCGAAGTGCTTCTAGAGTCTGAGGAGGATGTTGCAAATTGAGCAATCTCCTACCCATCATATCCCACACGTGCTCAATTGGGGATAAGTCGGGAGATCTTGGTGGCCATGGTAACAATGTGACATCATTATGTTGAAAGAAGTCCCACTATACGGCCCCTATCAAACTCACTAAGTTGACGAAATCGTGCAGGTCTCCGTACTCTAGGCATCGTAACCGATCGTAAAGGATGTCAAGAACCAAAATCCGCCAACGTTGATTCTTTACTGCGGCTGAAATATTCATTTTTAGAGCGCTAGTGAATTAAAAAAAAAGCAGTATAAAAACCGGAATGTCCAACTGATAAGGCTGAAAATTTTTTCACTTGTTATTTACAGTAAGATAAATACATTCACCAACTTTTATTAAAATAAAACCATTTAAACTGGGTGTTCAGATTTATATGTCACTTAGTATACTCTTCAAGGTAAAACTATAATTCTTAAACGAGTTTTTAAGCATTAAATCCACATCAAATTTGTTTGAATAAATTTTTCGTTAGACAAATTTTCATCATGTTTTTTTGGATCATTCCTAAGAACAAAGTACTCTATTAACTTTTCTCTAAAGCTGACCATTTTCGAGTTATAAGCGATTCCATGTCTGAAAAGCTCTAAAAAATGGGCATATTCAATGCTTAAAAAGTGTTGAAAATGATAAAGTATCTAAATTGAAGATTGGACAAGACTCCGAAAACTATTTTGAAATTACCTTAATTTAAAGCGATTTTTAACGTTGCCCGTTAGTTTTCGCAAACGGTATTGGGTTAGGTTTTCCACAATAATTTATACAAATCTAGTCGAACAGTTATTGGATCTTGATCTTCAGGCAGCAGCGGTGGCCGCAGTAGTAGACTCTTCGGTCTACTGATCAGTCGCCGTGCGCTGCGCGGGTTCGAATCCCGTCCCAAAGAGAAATTTTTCTCTTGGCTATGGATGTTGTGATTGTCCATAGGTGGTAGACGGTCTCTGACTGTCACACGTGGAGGTACCACCCGGCGGATCTCGTAGACCGGGCCAGAATGTGTGCATGTAGCATACACACGTGTTCCCTCGCCAGAGTCCGTGTTGCGTTCCCTCTTTCCCCTGTATCCCCCTATAGCCACACGGTACCCCATGGGTGTTTAGGCCTTAGGCCTTCGTGGTAGTTGGAGTATAAAAAAATCTAACTTGAAAAAAATAAATGTAGTAGCCTTCCAGCACTTGCGTGCCAGGATGGAATGATTATCTTACGATTCCGGCACCTTCCCAGAAAACTGGACGAGTATTGCTCACATGTATGGGGTTTGATCTAGCTCTGTTCTACCGCTACACCAACGGGCTTTGCCCCTCAGAGCTCTCCTCCATGATGCCGCCGCGCGATGTGCCTGCCCGACGGACCAGCCTGACTTCGGTCTCCAATCCTCACCGTATCGAACTTCGTACATGCATAACCGGCCGATACGACCGCTCCTTTGCCCCTAGGGTGTAGAGATTGTGGGAGATTCTACAAGAGGAGGCGTTTCTCAGTTGTACTAACCTTACGCAGTTCAAAAGTAGGATTAACAACGTTTCTTTAGGAACTTCATCGCAGACGCAGTGCCCTGGCATTTAGGCATCTGCCTGCGCGGCGCTCTTTGCTGTCTATAAGGAGAAGATTTGATCTTTACACAGTCCGTCAGAAAGTCGTTATAGTCGTATACAAAATTTAAAAAACCACTTTAATCAAACTATTAACAATTTTTTTTTTGTCAAACTTCTGATCCAAATTTTTGATTTTTGAAGGAAAATATCCCAAACCCGGTAGAAATGCAACTGTCAACCGCCAAAATACAGGTAAATAATACGATAAATGCCTTCCTACCGCGATGAAGCGTTAACCAAAATCTCCCTTTTGCTCAGGGGGACGCTAAAGCCACCCAAATGTTCACCAACAAGACCAAGTCGATAGTGTGGGGCATGCAAAATAGAGCCGTACAGAGCATGTTGGATTTCGACTTCGTCTGCAGGCGTACAGAACCGAGCGTGGTGGCCATCATCTACCCATTCACCGGGGATCACAAGCAGAAGTTCTATTGGGGACACAAGGAGATCCTCATTCCGGTCTACAAGCAAATGAAGGACGCCATGACGAAACATCCTGAAGCCGATGTGTTGGTCAACTTCGCATCGTTGAGATCTGCGTACTCTAGTACCATGGAGACGATGGAGTTCCCGCAAATCAGGACTATCGCTATCATTGCTGAAGGTTGGTGTAATATTTTAAACGACTTCGTATTTGTTCGTTTGCTTTTTGTAGATTTATTTAGCATTAATGCTACAGTATCAATGTTACAAAGTAAATCACATAATATAGACTACATATTTTTATCCGAAATTTAACTATTTTCAATTCTGGTTTTCAATGAAAAAATTTCCCTTTAAACATTTTCAAACTGGCAGACATCTTGATATCTTTATTTAATTTATTAAATTCGTACAATCCGTTTTGAAATACCGTTTGTTATATTGCTACTTTTATTTTGTAAATGAAAGTCTATACTCCCTCTTACAAAAATGTTTTCCAAGTGAAAATGATTTTTTAACTTGAATATGAAAATGAAAACAAAGTAGGTTATGAAATTTTTGATATTCAACCATTGCAGTTGTTTCAGCATAAAATTTATACTAGTATATTTATTTTTATTTAAGACGGTTCTCATAGCTTTATTTTGTTATTTGTAATTTTGAAAATACAGTTTTGGTTTGTAGTAAACAAAATAGTTAAACAGTATAACAAATGAGGAAGAATATTGTACACAATTCCCTAAAACCATACATTTTATTTTGTTTGTGTTTAATTTGAGTTTATTCACATTAATCCAATGAACTGTTTTTCATATCATTATTGAACAGCCTTTTGCAGTTTGAATGTCTTTATTTGACATATATATTAACGTATCATCAACACATATTTGAATTTTGCAGTATTGAAAAACATCAGAAATGTCGTTAATATATAAAATAAATAGTAATGGACCTAATTTGCTACCCTGTGGCACACCTACCGAATTTTTTTCAAACGTTTGATAGTGTATTGCCAATTTTAGTTCTTTGACTTCTATTGATTAAATAATTTTGTCATATATTGCATACTGAAACCTTTAAATCCATAGTAATGCAATTTCATTAACAATTTCTCTCTGTTACTAGTCTCAAATGCCCTCTCAAAATCCAAGGACAACGTTTTCATCCATCTGTCGCCTCCATTCTTTTACTACCGTTTGAATTGCTGTTTCAGTAGAATATATTTGTTTCTGAATCCTGCTTCAAATTTTTTCAATACGTTATTTTCTTCAATATGTTCAATTACACTGATCAACAGCCAAAAAATATCCTAAATAAAATCAACAAAATATTACTATTTTTAATGTGCTAAAACCGGAATGAAACTTATTTTTTCAATATTAGTTCAAGTTTTAGAGATATGGTAATTATATGTGTTCCTGCTGTGACAGTGTTAATATACTGTAATTCACAAGAATGCACGTGCTACATTTTTATATTCGGCAAGGAAAGATGATGTAATCGGCATGATTGTGTTACGTTATACATACGTGTACATTATATTGTTTTATATTAGCCATTTTTTCCTCAGTTGACTGACAGCGTTCATGCAAGATGTCTCGAAAGTGTGTAAACAATCCAGATCAGTTTTGTTACGTGTGTGGTGATGTGACTTTTGCGTCTCAGAGACGGTCTATTACTCCACTAATAACAAAGGCATATCACCTTTATTTCGGTTGTAAACTAGGTGATCAAGACAAACAGTGGGCACCCCACATCTGCTGTAATACATGTGCTTCAAGTCTGGGGAAAAACGGTCTATGCGCTTTGCTGTCCCAATGGTTTGGGGAGAGCCTACAAATCATATTAATGATTGTTACTTTTGCATGGTACCTTGTGTTGGACAAGCCACAGGTATGTCCAAGAAAAAAAAATCGATTATTAGCTACCCAAACATACCATCTGCGATGAGACCTGTGCCTCACAGTGACGAAAATCCTATTCCAAAACCCCCAGAATCCTACGCTTGCGAATCAGATCATGGCGATCGAGTGATTCGTCAGGAAGAAGATATGCCATCAACGTCAAGAGATCCTGATTTTATACCGAGCACGTCATGCCACCAACCGCACAAAATAACACAGTCAGAATTAAATGATCTTGTAAGAGATTTAGAACTTCCAAAATGTAAGGCAGAGTTACTTGGATCAAGACTGCAGCAGTGGAACTTGTTAGAAGACGATGTTTCGGTATGTGTTTTTCGTAAACGCCACAAAGACTTAGAACCATTTTTCAATATGGATAATAACTTGGTTTTCTGCAGTAACATTAACGGCTTAGTGGCGGCTTTAAATATAAACTATAACCCAGAAGAATGGAGATTGTTTATAGACAGTTTAACATTGAGTTTAAAGGCAGTGTTATTGCATATTGGAAATATTTTACCATCTCTTCCTGTAGGGTATGCAGTTCACATGAAAGAATCATATGACAATATGAAGTACCTATTGACATGCATAAAATACGATGAGCACCAATGGCATATTTGTGGCGATTTGAAAGTTGTTGCACTTTTACTTGGGCTGCAGCTAGGCTACACAAAGTTTTGCTAGTTTTTGTGTGAATGGGACAGTCGGGCAAAGGCACTTCATTACACCAGACAAAACTGGCCTGTTCGTCAATTCCTAGAGCCAGGTCAAAAAAATGTACAGCATATGCCATTAGTAGATTCGAAAAAAAATGTATTACCACCACTGCATATCAAGTTGGGCTTAATGAAAAACTGTATCAAGGCATTAGATAGAGATGGGTCAGCTTTTCAATACCTGCGTCAGAAATTTCCAAGACTAAGTGAGGCAAAGGTTAAAGAAGGTATTTTTGTTGGGCCACAGATTCGAAATATTTTGAAAGATACACAGTTTGAAAACACTTTAACATTGCATTGAAAAAACTGCTTGGAATGATTTCCGTCTGGTGGTCACTAATTTCTTGGGAAATAGAAAAGCTGACAACTATAAAACCCTTGTCAAAAATATGCTGTCATCGTATCAAAAGATGGGCTGTAATATGTCTCTTAAGATACATTTCCTACACTCACACCTGGACTTTTTTACTGACAATTGCGGAGCCGTAAGTGATGAGCACGGCGAACGTTTTCATCAGAATATTTCAACAATGGAAAAAAGGTACCAGGGAAAGTGGAATCCTTCCATGCTTGCAGACTACTGTTAGACTCTTGGTAGAGATGCTCCAGAAACGATCCATAAAAGAACAGCAAAAATACCGCGCATATAGTGATTCTTATAAGTATATGAATCTTGTTACTTTTTTTAATACATCCTTAAAAATAAAAAGTTTTTTTCTAAACCGCAACTAATTTTTTTATTTCATTGTCATTTTTTGGATTCAGCGCCCCAAAATTAACAAATAAGTGCACTTTTTCCACAAGATACAATTAAAAAACTAAAATTTGTTGTCCAGTGTTATTTGTTCATATATGATTCCTTTTAAGGGCTTCTCGACATCTGGCTTTACATTAATTGGTCGCATGTTTGTATGAAACTCATAATTTTGCACTTTTCGAACAGGAGTAATAATTGTAGAACATTTCAATTTCGAAGTCAATTCGCTATATACTAATGATTCACTAACAATAATAACTTCTTGTAGAAACATTCTTTTAGAACCATTTTTGAAAGATATTCACTAGGATTTCCATTGGATTTTAATATTGAAACAGCTTTTGAAAGATGGTTGATGTTTATTGTTTGGAATTGACTCATAGAAGAATTATAAATAGCTGCTGCTTCGATTGACTCCACTATCTCATTTACACTTTCTATAAAATAAGCGTTCATTCGTTCTGAAATCAATACATTTTTGTGTTGCTATACCATCTTCGAAGCACATTCTCGATAATTAATTCCTTTTATATGGAAGATACAATATTTGTGTGTGTATCTTTGTAGGAAAGCCCTTTGCGAAATTTTTGATAGAAATTTGTCACATATTTTTTTGTTTCCATTCAATCGTTTCCTTCATATTCTGTGCCACTGTGTGTTGTTGTATCATCATTTTCTTTACATTCAGGTATCCCCGAGAACTATACCAGGAAAATGGTCAAGATGGCCAACGAAAAGAACGTGGCCATCATCGGCCCGGCCACCGTGGGTGGCCTGAAACCGGGCTGTTTCAAAATCGGCAACACTGGAGGTATGATGGACAACATCCTGCACTCCAAGTTGTACCGACCTGGCAGCGTCGCGTACGTATCACGATCCGGCGGCATGTCCAACGAGTTGAACAACATCGTGTCCAAGGCCACTGACGGTGTGTATGAAGGTGTGGCTATTGGAGGCGATAGATATCCTGGAACCACCTTCATGGATCATATTATGAGGTTCGTGGAACGATAAAATGTTCATTTACGTTTTTTTTTTTATTTTTTTGTTTATTGCAGATTTATTTAGCATTAATTTTATTTATTTTATTTTATTTTATTTATTTATTTCCAACAGGTGAAACCCAATTACAGGAAACGCTGAAAAAAATAGCAATTAAAGAGACATGGTTCTTGGACTTAAATCTATAGTATCACACATTCTGAATAAGATTGGATGATCTATAACAGTTAATAATCGTTGCACAACTGTCACTGTAAATATCACACGATTCAGTAACACTGTTCATGACGCAGCACATGAAATTAATTGGCGATTTTGTCATAACATTTGTACGGCCAGCTTGACAATAGAATGCCATTTGTTGTCGACTCCCTAGCCTTGGAACGCGGAAACATATTTTTTCAAGTAAATTTTGACAGTCAATTTTGTTGTGAATGAGGCCATACAAAAACGACAAAGCAAATATGTTTCGTCTTGTTGACAGTGAATCCAAATTGAAAGACTCTAATAGGGCACTATGGTCACAACCTCTTTCTGGATAAGAACCTGTGCATTTAAGGTGAAAATACTTTAAAGCTTTACGTTGAATGGCCTCAAGGATCACGACAGAATTTTGGTATATAGGAGACCAGATCAGAGTCGCATACTCCAACTTGCTCCTGACAAAAGTAAAAAATAAAGTCATTAATGTATCAACATTGGAGAAACCCTTTCAGTTTCTGATACAGAAACCAAGTAGTCGAGTGGCAGCCGACGAGATATTGAGTATGTGCTCAGTTAACGTTAGCTTGGTATCAAATATGACTCCAAGGTCTCTATAAGAGGTGCATCTGTCTATAACCTGACCATTGATGTTATAATTATCATAAATTAAATAGTTCACTTTTCTTGTATAAGTCATAACTTTACATTTCGAAACATTCAGACTGAGACAGTTTCGTGAACACCATGACGAAATTAGAGCTAAGTCATCTTGCAACATGACGCAATCATCGACTGTCTTGACTGACGTGCAGATTTTGAGGTCATCAGCGAAAAACAAATGGAAACACTTCAGTTCAAAAGACAAGTCATTAATGAATATTAAAAACAATAATGGACCTAGATTTGACCCTTGAGGTACCCCAGACGTGGCCCGATAGTAACTCGACCTATGACCACCATATTCGACAAATAACCTTCTATCCCTCAAATATGAATTCATGAGCGACAGCATTGCATCAGACATACCCACTGTTTTAAGCTTATCCAGAAGTGCATAATGATCAACTTGATCAAAAGCCTTCTGAATATCTGTGTAGATGACATCAACTTGTCCCTGACCGTCCAGTACTTCAGAAATGTATTGAGTAATTAGAGCCAAGTTGGTGACCGTAGATCTGCCTCTCATAAACCCATGCTGATTAATAGAGACTGCACCCCTGACCGAGCAGTAAACCGTTTCATAAGCGATGATCTCAAACAACTTGCTGAAATTGCACAGGATTGCTATTTGGCGATAGTTGGAAATATCAGAGATATCTCCACTTTTGTGAATAGGACATATTTTAGAGGTCTTCCAGATATTTGGATATGTCTCTGATTTTAGAATTAGGTTGAATATGGAAGCCAGCGGTTTCGCTAGTATATGAATGCAATCTTTAACGAAAAAACTTGGAATACCATCACATCCAGACGTCATTTTGTTCTTTAATCTTTTCGAAGCCCTAATTACGTTTTCTTCACTTATATTTTTTAAAGAAATGATATTGGTAGAATTATTTGTTGGAGGAGATGACCCTAGTACACCAGACGGGATAAAAACTGTTGAAAAGAAGGTAGCAAAACTGTCCACTATATCCTGAGGCGTATCGCAGACATTGCCGTTAAACGTCATCCTGGGGGGATTCTAGATTGCTGTTTTTTGGTCTGTGCAAATGACCAGAATTTGCTAGGATCATTGACAATGGCATCCTCAGCCGATTGGACGTAAGCGGAGTAGGCAACACTGATCTGGTTCTTAATGAGCTTCCTAAAATTACTGAACTGATCATAAGAAAACTTAGTACCGTCACGTTTCCAGTTCCTTCTTGCTATGTCCTTCTTCTTGATATTAAGTATAATTTCACGTGTGAATCATGGGGGATACGAAAACATTTTATTTTTACATTTAGGGACATGGATGATACAATGTCAAACGAAATGGATGAAAAGTGCACACTATAAAAAATTTGAAGTATCGGATAAGTGTCGGATTTTGATTTTTCAAATTCGCGAATGTGTTTTAGGTACCAAGCAGACGACAACATCAAAATGATTGTGTTATTGGGCGAAGTAGGAGGTGTGGAAGAATACGAGGTATGCAAGGCACTGCAAGAAAAGAAAATCACAAAGCCACTAGTTGCGTGGTGTATAGGTAAGAAACGTTCCACGATATGTCTGTGTGCTTCTGTAAAAAAATTCACAAGAAAACCTTTATCAAATAACTGTAAATTCTTGTGCAAGTGAACTCACATGATTTATAGTTAAATACAACGTTCTTTGCACGTATTTCTTGTGCCCCAACTTGAACTGTACTTCAAAAGAGGTTGCTATATCTCGAATCTACTTTCAAATAGGGCAAACTGCTTCAGGTTTTGTTCTTCCCCACATTGTAACTAATTGTTCTTATAATAAAGGAAACATTCATTATTTGAGTGAGCAATTTGTCTGCATAAAAGTTAGTTAATTTACCAATGGTCAGTCCCAAAAATTTTATGGGGTCTGTTTTGTGTATCAATTCATTATATTGAAACGATGATGATTTCAGGCACGTGCGCTGGAATGTTCACCTCAGAAGTACAATTCGGACATGCGGGATCCTGCGCTAACACCAACAGAGAGACTGCAACGGCTAAAAATGAGGCGCTTAAGGCTGCTGGAGCTTATGTACCTGATTCCTTCGATTACTTGGGTAAGAGCATTCGTGATAGAATATATACTAAATGACATAGAAAATGCAACACCGACTATACTACAACTATTTAAAACTGTAATGACTCATACGCGTGATCAACACGTGATCAGAGCTCGATCCCGGCTTCCTTCCAGTACAGCCGTATAGCGTACGACATATGTCGTTTCTGTGGCTTTGCGGTGGTCAACAGCACAGACAGAGATGGAAATAATGGCTGATTGTTATCCGCCGGTAGAACCAATGAAATCAAAGACGCGCCTCGACCGGCAGACTCATAGGCGTCGGCAACGCATTGGAACGTGTTTCGTTGAGCGATCGCATATTGTGTGTTTTTATAAGAATTGTTGTGTGATTGTTATTGTTGTGGTTTCTGTGGTTACTGTTTTGGTTATACTTAACCATGGAGAGTACAAATGGCACGAGTGGAAGTACTGAAAGCCAGGGAACAAGTAGACGGCTTCGTAAAGCACTGAAGAGGGACGCGAAAGAAATCGTGCTCAACGTGTTCAATTATCTGAACAGAACTATGTCGCAGGGAGATGCACTCGCGCGTTGTGAAAGTATGACAGGCGTTCCAGAGTGGACCATTCGCAGGGTGGTGCATGAAAAGAAGAAAACTGGAGCTACTACTGATCCAAAGTTTAATTTGAAGGAATGAAAGGCCGTTAAATTTGACGACGATAGCAAAATGGCATTAAGGCGAACCGTACATTCATTCTTCTTTAGGAATGAGATACCAACCCTCAAGGCTGTACATGCGGCGATCAAGGAAAATGAATTTTTTATAGTAGTGCTGTAATTTTGGGCATACTTTTACAAGTTTTAGGTCTACTGATAAATACAAAGTGATTAAAATTTTAACTAGTAATTTCGCAAAATAGCTGATGTTAGTAATGTGTTGAAGCTCCTCTGTTCTCTACACATTCGTTAAGATGCGGATCAAGCGCGGACCCGGAAAATACGAAACGCCCATCATTTGGCTATCTAATGCGACCGATCTCGAGTCGTTATTTTGATAAATGCATTTTTTTACTTTAACAGCCGTTTTAACACGTTCTTCGGCATCGTACCTAGACGGTTCTTACTCGATCGTAAAGCGGCGAGTTTCTAGTTTCCGAAACAGTATCACTTTCCGTTAAAACCTCTCGCGAACTCGGAAAAAACCGAAAAAACCGTGCCGACGTCGAATCGCTCCGTCCAGGCTCGGGAGGGGAAGTTAGAAAATAAACAAAAGATCACTCGTTGATATAGTCGATTTTATCTTGCATACAAATAGTATCAATTGGGCAGGACAAAGCCGGAAACAAACTGACTTTATCATGTATCGAAAAGTAGCATATAGTCGAGGAATTTTAAAAAATCGAAACTTTTCAATGGAAACGAATAAAGGAATGAAAATCGTTTACTGGCGAGTCAGAAGTATGGGCTTTCTTATGCAAGGTCCGTATCTCCGTTATCTTCGGAGAAGATAGATCGTAGACAGCGAAGAGCGCGCTTTATACGCTAAAAAGTCATTTGAAACAACATTTGAAGTTCGTTTATTCGAAACGGGAAACGGAAAAAAACTCTTTCCACGTAATTTATAGTGCTCGTCGAGATGTTCAAAATGTGGCGTGTGAAATTCCTTTTCTCTTTGGCATAAAGGAGATTCCGAGTTTTTACGGCAATTTGCCATTTTTCTCGCTTTTTTCTTTGAAAATGTCTAGAAAACGAAACAAGATGCGGATCAAATGAAAGGCAACGCTATAGGGCCCGCTCTTCATTTAGCTATCGAATGAGACCGATCTCGAGTCGATATTTTGATAAACGGCGAAACGTAGCCTACCAAAGTCTTAATACTACGCGAAAATCTACCGCTGTTTTAGATCGCATTTCTTCCTGTTACCTCGACGGTTCTCGCTCGCTCGCAAAGCGCCGAGTTTCTAGTTTCCGAAACGGTATCGCTTTTCGTTAAAACCCTTCAGAACAAACAAAAAAAAAACGAAAACCGCGCCGACGTTAAAACGCCCGATCCAGACTTTGTTTGTTTAAGATTCATTTAGCATGATTGCTACAATTACATTCTTTTAAAAAACTAAACAATTACATAACATACAGACATTCAGAAAAAAAACAAAATTTGCATCTCCAAGAATTTTCATTGTCCATGAAATATTCCTTTAATTTTCTTTTAAATATCTTTGAATTACAAGTAGTCGTTATATCATTATTTAGTTTATTAAAATCAACTAATCCTTTCTGAAATATTGATTTGCTAGTTATATTACTATTGCAATTTTGTAAATGAAAATCTATATTTCCTCTTGTATAATAATTGTGGTAAAGATTAATCAATTCTATGTAGTGTTCTAAATGTTTTGGCATAAGATATTTTAAATATAAAGATAAGTACCAAATACGATATGAATTTTTTATATTCAACCACTGCAATTCTTGTAACATCTATTGTGGTGTACTTATTTTTATTCAATATTATTCTAATAGCTTTATTTTGCAAGACTTGTAATTTTGAGAATACAGCTTCATTGGCAGAGAACAAGATAGTTGAACAATATAGTAAATGCGGTAGAATAATTGTATTATAAACTATTTTCTTGGACTAGGTACCAAGACTATGAGAAGCCCTATAAAAATCATTTGTTTATTTGGCAATTTTTGAAATAATGTATTCATAGTGATCCTCAAACTTTAGTTTACTATCAATATATATACCTAAATATTTAATTGATTTAACATTTTCAATTATTTCTCCATTTATCCTAACTGTGATAGTATTTTCATTTATGTATTTCCCTATGAGCATACATTTTTTTTTAGAAGTATTCAATTTTGGTTTATTTACATTCAACCAATTTATGATTTTTGCCAAGTCAGAATGTAGCATTTTTAAAGCAGTGTCTATATTTTCATCTGATATGTATATTAATGTATTGTCTGCAAATATCTGAAGTTTACAGTATAAAATATTATAAATGTCATTAATGTATAAAATAAATAGTAGTGGACCTAGTTTACTACCTTGTGGTATACCAACAGAAATATTTTTTGATCTTGATAATGTAGATTCAATTTTGGTTTTTTGACTTGTGTCAATTAAATAGTTTTGTAGAATTTTGAACACAGCTCCTTTAAATCCATAATGATACAATTTTGTAAGTAATTTATCCCTATCAATAGTCTCAAACGCCCTTTTGAAGTCCAAAAACACTGTTACTGTATGTTTCCGATTGTCCATAGATCTCCTCCAGTCCTCTAAAACCATTTGAGTTGCCGTTTCAGTTGAATGTTTCTTCCTGAATCCAGCTTGAAATTTGGTTAAAATGTTATTTCCTTCAATAAATTCGATGATCTGTTCGTAAATAATTTCTGCAATAACTTTTTCAACATCTGGCAGAACATTTATTGGCCGCATATTGGTGTAGAAACAGAAATAGAAACAGCTCGTCAGGGGAAGTTAGAAAAAACAAAAGATCAATGTGTAATATAGTCGATTTCAGTTGAGTGTTTCTTCCTGAATCCAGCTTGAAATTTGGTTAAAATGTTATTTCCTTCAATAAATTCGATGATCTGTTCGTAAATAATTTCTGCAATAACTTTTTCAACATCTGGCAGAACATTTATTGACCGCATATTGGTGTAAAAATAGAAATAGAAACAGCTCGTCAGGGGAAGTTAGAAAAAACAAAAGATCAATGTGTAATATAGTCGAATCTGGGTGTTGCATTTTATGTCACTTAGTATATATAGTTAAGCTGCTAACGCAGTGTTTCTAATAGTATAGAAATTTGAGATGTAACCTGCTTAAACAATCTAATGTATTTTCTTTATATTCAGGTGATGTAATTCAAAATGTCTTCGAGCAGTTGGTCAAACAAGGCATTGTAGTACCTGCCCCCGAAGTACCACCACCAACTGTACCTATGGACTACAGCTGGGCGAGAGAATTGGGATTGATTAGAAAACCAGCAAGTTTCATGACTTCTATCTGTGATGAACGAGGACAAGAATTGATTTATGCAGGTACGAAACAGCACATACATACATTTTATTACATACACCTTAGGAAAAACCATTGTTATACATGGGAAATCATTTCTTGGCAACAGCGCATCGGCTCGTCTACTTTCATCGCTATTCGTACATATTTCCTACCGTTAACCGCAGACCTGTATCACGAATGAGAATAATAGGCAGATACGCTGTGTTGCCAATTTGAGTAGAGCTTCCCGAATTGTGGGGAATTTAGAGTTAAGTATTGATTCATTCAAGCTTTTAATCAGCATGGCCTAGACGTTAGAACTTCGTAAAGATAACATTGAAGCTGAATGCTGCTGGAGTATAGTGTTTCGAATATTCAAAGCGGAGCGGGACACTATACTCGTTCAATGGGTCATCAAGCCACAGTCTTTTCAACAAAGAAATTATTTTACGAAAATGCGTTATATTTTTACGATTTTGTCGTCACCAAATCTCTGTTTCTCAAAAATACGTCTATTGTAGAATTTTCAGCAAACTAAGCAAGAAACTTGATCTAGTATTTACTCAAGATTACGGATTTCTCGAAATACATTAAAAAATGTGACCTAGATACCTAACTGCCCCAAGCTCTTTAAATATAACACCTTAAACCAGGGTTACCAGGTGCTCAGTCACGTTGATTGTCATGTTGTACTGCGCAAGTCAGCAAACAATCTGGCGTAATAAACGTTAGGAATCATCAGGTATTGCCAGATTCCCGAATACCGGGCACCATAGTAACCGTTATAGTTGTCCTTCAAAGTTGTCAAATCGCCCCTATGGCGCAAATTCGCCACACCAGGCAACTGTGCTATAAACAAACCCTGTTTATCACTACTATTTGATAGTCATATGGTAGTTGTAGCCCTATCTAGCGGTCCATGATTTCTCTCAATACTGTTGTATCTCTACTGGCAACAAGAATAGGGATTACAAAATCATTTATACAACAATATACAAACATGAAAAATATGATTTGAACCATGAAACATTATTACAATTTTAATAGTTTGAACTTTTTTCATTTTTGGAATACTCTTATGTGGAATCCGCAGCTATTTTTCCCGAAATTTGGGTAGACTTAGATTTCTTAGAAATATGACATATTGGTATCGGCAACTTTGCGAATGGGAGAAACAAATCGCATTTGTTGAGCGCATCCGTCTAAGCGGTAGGCGCCAGCGCCCGTTCTGCCATCTCTCTCTTTTATCACTCTTCTACTTTACCCCGTTGTCCGTCACACTCCGACGCTGCCAGATAGGATCCTACAATCGAGTGTCTTTCACGCACCTACATACTTTTGTATATTTCCATCTCTCTTCCTCATCATAATGTATAATAATGGTTTTTCCCAAGGTGTATATAAGAAGGATTCCGGAAATTTTCTTTACGACGAATTTTGATTCTTACACGTTTGATCTCCATATAAAGGCTGTCCTGAGAGTTGGGACTTTTCAGAAACAACTACGTTTATAATAACTAATGTGCGGTCATTATTATATATTATTATATTATATAATCATTATTTTACACAATTTTTCGATCATTTTCCTGCTATCTTACGTCCTGTGACCGCCCTGTGGTACTAAAAGTGTTATAAGTGCTAAATTATCGTAATAAATGACGTATATCCTTAACCTTGAAATCGATTAAGCAATGCTTCATTTTTCCAAATATTCCAGGCATGCCCATCTCCGACGTCCTGCAAAAGAACGTAGGCATCGGCGGCGTGATCTCCCTGCTATGGTTCCAGCGTTGCCTGCCCGGGTACTGCTGCAAATTCTTCGAAATGTGCCTGATGGTGACGGCCGATCACGGTCCGGCTGTATCCGGCGCCCATAATACCATCGTATGCGCCAGGGCCGGAAAGGATCTGGTGTCCAGTTTGGTGTCCGGGCTGCTGACCATCGGTGACAGGTTCGGAGGCGCTTTGGACGGCGCTGCGAAGATGTTCAGCGAGGCGTACGATAAGGGTCAGTCAATATTTTTTATATACGAGGTGTGTAAATTAAGTGATAAGACTGGCAACGTAGCGTTCGATCTGGCAACACTGGAGGTGCCGGGCTTGGAGGGGGACGGGGGAATATATGATCCGCCTTCAGTACAAGCTTGAACTCGATCGAGTCATTTGGTTGTCCGTAACATTTTTGACCGTCAAATGTTAATGTTCGTGAGATCGATCCTAAGTCTATTGTTTTTTGACAGTCGTAATCAGGATGCCCACCAATGAAAAACTGATGAAACGTACACGCTTTGACGAAGAAAGGAATGTTTCGAGCCTTTGGGGGCTGACATGCATTTTTTTCTCAAATAAGCTTGTAAATTTAGTCATCAACATTAAGGTGGCACATCCCTTTTTTTTAGATTTTTTTTCAGCTTCCTGTTTGCAGCAGTATTCTAAATCCTTTTCATCTGATAATTTCATGGTGTGTCTAAAGATGACTAAGAAACAATGTTTTTATTTTTTTGTCAAAAAGTGCGTTTTTGTGCATTTTTTACTTCATTCGTAACTTGTTAATAAATAACGGGTGATTTTTTAAGAGGTATAGGATTTGATTTTCAAAAAAAAACACAAAAAATTTGAAAAAACGATTAAATCTTTATTTGAGTCGATAGAACGGTCGATATAATTTAATGTTTAAAGATTATTTCATGTAAATGTTGGCCGCGGCTCCGCTTTAGATGGCCCATGCGCAAGGTCCAATTTTGGCACACTCTCTCCAACATATCGGCCGGTATCTCACGAATAAATGCTTCAATATTGGCTTCCAGTGCGTCAATCGTTGCTGGTTTATCCCTGTAGACATTATCCTTAACATGGCCCCACAAGAAATAGTCCAACGGCGTTAAATCACACGATCTAGGCGGCCAATTGACGGGCCCCAAACGTGAGATAAACTGTTCACCGAACTGGCCTCTCAATAGGGCCATCGTTTGGTGTGCGGTGTGGCATGTGGCACCGTCTTGTTGAAACCACATGTCAGCCAAGTCCAGCTCTTCCATTTTGGGCAAAAAAAAGTTTGTTATCATCGCACGGTAGCGCTCGCCATTCACAGTTGCGTTCCGGCCATTGTCGTCTTTGAAGATGATGCCACCGGCCCATAATCCACACCAAACAGAGATTTTTTCGGGATGCATTGGTAGCTTTTGCAATGCTTCTGGCTGGCTTCACTCCAGATGCGGCAATTGTGCTTGTTAACGTCCCCATTCAACCAGAAATGAGCTTCGTCGCTGAACACAATTTTTCGATAAAAATGTGGATCTTCCTCCAACTTTGCCAGCGCCCATTCACCAAATTGGAAATGTGGGAGGTCGTGTGGCTTCAATTCTTGCACCAGCTGTATCTTATAAGGTTTTTCACCCAAATCCTGTCGCAAAATTTTCGACGTAGTGGAGTAACAGAGCCCCAATTGCTGCGAACGGCGGCGAATCGACATTTCACGGTCATCACTAACACTGGCGGATACAGCCGCAATATTTTCTTCAGTCCTCACTCTACGTCTGCGTGTTGGTGGTTCAATGTCCAATAATGTAAACTGAGTTCGAAATTCAGTCACACGCTTCCGAATAGCTCCGTCAGTGGGCCGACCAAATTGCCCATAAATTGGAAGCAGTGCTCGATGCACTCTCTTAACCGAGCATGAATTTTGATAGTAAAATTCAATAATTTGCAAGCGTTGTTCATTCATAAGTCGATTTATGGTTAAATTATAGACCAAACTGAACAAGTTTGACAATGACACAAAACACGGTTCACGCGTCATCTGTCAAAAACAGTGTTGCCAAAAAAATACTAGCAAAAAAATCACCCATTATAAGTACAGCTCTGAAATTGGGTGCGAATATTCCTCTTTTATGGAAGAATGAAAGGAGTGATTACTTTTTTCTTATCATTTTTCCTTTTCGAAAAATCATTGATGAAGCCTCGTCTCGCAGCAAGTTGAGTTTTCAAGAAAAGCAAAGATTTTTCGAAAAGGAAAAGCGATAAGAACAAAAGTAATCACTCGTTTCACTCTTCCATAAAAGAGGAATATTCACACACAATTTCAGAGCTGTGCTTATATTTGTTAACAAGTTCCGATTGCAGCAAAAATGGAAAATAAAAAATTGTTTTTTAGTCATGTCTATACGCGGCATGAATTATCAGATAAAAAGGATTTCGAATACTGCTTTAAACAGGAAGTTGAAAAGAAATCTAAAAAAGGGACGTGTCACCTTAAGGGTCGCAATTGAGCCCACATATAAAAAAAGATTTGAACTGTATTAAATGTGAGACATTCTACAACGAATTCGAATGGCGTCTTTGTTTTTCCCATCAAAAAGATTTTTCTCAAAAAAAAGGAAAACAATTATAAAATTGCTGATATGGTTGAGCATTTTTTTACATTTTTTTTTTTTAGATGTTGAGCACCAGAACTTTTTCAGATTTACCGTTATGCCTAGTTCAAAATAAATGTAAAAATCGACTATTTGGCCGTGTCTTACACCAATAATTCAATTTGAATATACGCGAAGTGGTTTTTTCAACTTCGGCGTTTAATAAAAAAGTTAACTAGTAGAACTTTTTGTATCTCTCGGCGACAATTTTTTCAGTATACCCTCAAGAATATGATGCCCTTGTAAAACAGCTTTTTGCTTTTTTTGTCAAATTATAGATATGGTCTATTAATCAATTCTTCCGAGAGTTTAATGCCATAAAAATTAATAACAAGCTAAAATTTGCCTTATCGCCCCACCTGAAATAGATTTTAAAAATCCGTATGGCTAGAAAGCTGATGAGTTTACTATAGGAATTGCATTTTTTACATTGCTTACATCATTTTTTTATTTGGCGGGAAAGCTTTGAATAGGAAACGCTCACGCTCACACCATCATGAATAGGTTCAGTCTATCAAGTTATGCGAAAACTAAATTTAACTCGTCAAATGAGGTTTCATTAGACTAGTCCTGTATGTTGAAAATTCAATGTTTTGAAAAATAATGTTCCCTTTTTCATAGGTATGCACCCTGCCGAATTCGTGAACCACATGAGAAACAAAGGCCAGCTCATTATGGGCATTGGACACAGAGTGAAATCAATCAACAATCCAGATCAGCGAGTAAAGATCGTTAAAGAATTCGTGATGGGCAATTTCCCAGCTACTCCTCTTCTCCAGTACGCGTTGGAAGTCGAAAAAATCACCACCAGCAAAAAGCCGAACCTCATCCTTAATGTTGGTGAGTATCCCAAAGTTCCGTACATCGTAAACATTATCAAAATAACATCTAGAATTTATCCTGTAAGCTAATAAAACCACGTGTATTGACAGAATCTTCTTTACTGTAAACGTTTCAGTCACAATGCTTCTTAATCCACAAAGCATTCTACAACTTTGATGAGTTCTTCAACAGTGACTTTTCGGAATTCCAGTAGTTCTTTTTGTTTCTTTTTTGTGCTTTTCCAAATTTTTGTGATTGTGAAGGTGTTTATTCATCTTGTGTATATTTTTTCATATTTATTGTTGCTTTTTTATTTTATTCGCTGATAAATGTCATCATTGTCTTTTTTTGACTTCCGCAAACTCACTGTGTATTTGGCAGTGAATAAATTGAATTCATCTTCAGTACAATGCCACATATTCGATTTATCTGCCTTCTATGCACAGATTATTAGCTACCTTACAGGTGACAGTTCGCTTGTTTTTTTTCTTTTCAGCATCACATCCCTATACAGTCTATTTAGGCTATTGAAATTTGTTTATTGTCCAAATTTGAGTATAACTGTTGGAGTAACGTTATGTTTGTTCCAAATTGCCTATTAACAAGCGTACTTCTGTTATAGATGGTGTGATAGCGTGCGCATTTGTAGACATGTTACGCAACTGCGGCAGTTTCACCAGCGAAGAGGCTCAGGAATACATAAACATCGGCGCGATCAACTCTCTGTTCGTGTTGGGCAGGTCGATCGGTTTCATTGGCCATTACATGGACCAGAGGAGGCTCAAACAGGGTCTGTACCGTCACCCGTGGGACGATATCTCGTACGTTCTGCCAGAACAGTACAACGGAGGGAACTAGGCGATGCATTTTCTTAGGTTTTAGGTATGTGTTTTTTGTTTTGCTATGTTGTTAAAGAGGAAAAGTTATTGCATAAAAGTGAAAATATAGAGATGTAGTTCGCCACGCCACGCCTCTCGTCATGGTGAGTATCATCACTGCCACTTGGTTGTCCACTTTTTTATAGCAAATCTTCGACCTAAACATGCACCTGACGTTGTGCCCAGTGAGACATGTATGTACTTGAAAATACGTATCTTCTTAATGCGCATCCTATTTTAAAACTTCTAGTGTATTTTTAGCACAATCTAGGGGGCCTATTTTGGCGTAAAAACAACAATAAAAATAAGCTTTGAATCATCTCCGTTTTGCGCTCACCAACAAATTGAGGTTTTATTGCTTCTTCTGGACGATATCCTTGATGTGTATGACTATGAAAGTTTGTTAAAAATGCGTTAGATATCTTAAAAAGCTGATCTCGGAATTGGTATAAGATTGGAAAATTAATTTTTTAGAAAATCACAATGTGCTGCCTGGTGCGAGGTACGTATAAAAGTGGAATAATAACTTTATTTTACAATTGTTCGGGTATTTCAGTACGGTCTCCTTCAAAGTGCTCCCTCTGAGACAAGATGCGCTTCTGGCAACGCCGTTCCCACTGTTGATACGATCGCTGAAAGTCTTCATTTGTGAGGCTCTTGACTGGCCGTGTCTCGTTTCTGCCTTGATGACTTCCACATCCCCAAAGTGAAGCCCCCGAAGCACAGCGAGAGACGTTGTCGTGATGAAGGATCCACCTGCCCCCTTGTGTTTAGTCCGATCGAACTCGGGCCACACGAGCTCTGAAACGACGTAAAACTTCGATGTAGAAATTTCCGTTCACTGTCTGGCCGGGAGGGACAAATACCTGGTGAACAATCCCCCGAGAATTCCAGAAAACAATCAACGTTGTTTTTACACTCGACCTTGATTTTTTCGACTTTTTTGTTCTCGGTTCCCCTGCTTGCTTCCTCTCCAAGCTTTGAAGACTCGTAGAACCAAGATTAATCTCCAATGATGACTCGGTTGAAAAAGTCCCCCCTTTTCTCTGCTTCCAGCCAATCCTCACAGCAAGCAACCCTCCTTGCTTTCTGTTCTGGAGACACGAGCTTCGGAGCGATTGTCGCTCACAATTTTTTCATTTCAAGTTTTTCTGTCACAATTTCGTGGACGATTGCTTCGGGGATTGACAGTTCCTCAGCTATCATTCTAACTCAATCGACGGTCTCTAAGAACCGCCCCGAATTCGTTCAACATTTTCCTCAGAGCTCGATGAGGAGGGGCCTCCTGAGCGTTGGTCACCTTTCACATCGGCCTAACCGAAACCTTTTCAACCACTTGTTGACGGTTGATTCATTCAGAGAATTGTTCCGAAAAATCTCACGACCATTCCTGCCTAGCTTTGTAAGAAACTTGATGGTGGTGAGCTGTTCCTCGATCAGAGGGAGCTCCATGTCGAAGGCATGTAAAAAAGGGTTACTTTCAACCAGCACACGTAAATGCTACTTACTCGCAGAGCGCTCCGGCTCGTACTGAGCGTAGAAGGGATCGCATAGAGAGAGAGGGAACCACCGGGCCACCTCACCGCAACGCCTTGACTCGACGCTCCGAATTTTTTATACATATTTTCTGGACAAACCTCGTATAGCACCGGTTTCTCCTATGACGATCATTAAAGAAAGAGAGACGTAAATGTTATGCACTTGGTGCGTTACGATGTCCGTAAATACATATATGGACATTTGCTTTGGGTATCCCCTAATATCACGGCAATCCACTTGAATGGTGAGGTGCTCGATGGCCTGAACTGCATCACTATATTCTTAATACAACTAGCAGTTAGACACTTATTAGTGTATAATACATATCATGTATTGTGATTCTGTATCTTGTTGATGTATTGGTGTTTTCTCTTGCTCTTAATCGGTTAGTAACTAAAACTATTAATGTCCGATGTCCCTTTTCTCCAATAACTTGTCTTGAGGAGTATTCCTAATAATTTTCGTCTGATTGTTTCACGATGTGTATAGAGAGAGAAAAAAAACATTTTTTATGCATTTTTTTCTTCAGTCGTACTTAACAAATAAAATAGTGCAGCTCTAAATTTGTTCGTGAATTTTCCACTTTTTTGGAAAAATTGAGCCGATGATTACTTGTTTGTTAACAGTTTCTCTCTTCAAAAAATCTTTGCTTGTCGTTGCTGCAAAATGAGATTTCAAGAAAATCAAATTTGCTATAAAAGTGGAATTTACAATTTCAGAGCTGTACTAATATGTTTAACAAGTTACGATTGAAGAAAAAAATCACAATATGTAATATGGTAAAAAATGCATTTAATGACAAATTCATTACATTGTTTTTTAGTCTGTACAAACTATGAAATAATCAGATGAAAAGGATTTAGAATACTGCTCCAAAAAGGAAGTGAGAGAAAGGGACATCCGACCTTGTAACTTGTTATGCATAAGAAGTCAATATGTTTATGCCTGTATCACCATTATACAGGGTATTCTCAAAGATGGAACTTTCCTTTTCTGGGCAACAATTGAGATGACAAAGCTAACTATATAGTGTAACGACACCGAATAAGTGAAAAAAATATACTCACCTGTTATTTGAAATTATAAATACGTCTCTGTCTGTGGTACTTACCAATATTGTTTAAAGTTGTCGCCATTCGGTCTTCAGAAATACATGTTTGTGCTTGGCGTTCGCAACATTCGGGGTTGTCTAAACCTTCCACTGTGTCCACCTCGACATTCCTGTAAAACGTCCAAAAGCAAAAGGATCTGAACACAATCGCGAAACCTTAGCAGCATCTTGAAAACACTCACCATAAACTACAATCATATCACCAGATTTGTTATTGTTATATGATTGTATAATTTCCTGTATTTTCGTATCCGCTTTGTAAACAAACAGCTCAGGAATGGCTGGATCGGATATGATAATTCAAATTTTTTCAGAAGCCAACATCTCGGTTATCCTAAGGTTTGGGTGTATGTGTTATAAGGGAAATTTGTTCATTTGTTTACAAGAACTGTGTGAAAAGGACAGTCTCGCATTTGAGAAGGCCTTGGTAGTGAAAGAGAAATGTGACTAATTTAACAATTGCACTTCTAATTCTAGGCAATTTGCACCATAAAATGTGAGACACCTAGGATAACTAGAAATAGAAGATATCATGTCCTTGTGTTGAATATTTTTTGAGAACTGGAGGGTATGCAAACTATATATTTTGATAAATGAAATGAGGAAGAATATGGGAGGCGCACTGAATGTTTCATTGGCACATTATGTGACGAGTTACTAGCTTCCATAATTTATTGTTTTAAAAGTTGATATTTATATTTTTGTATTTTAAAATATTTCGCTAGGTAGATATAATTATGAAATTTTTGATGATTGACATTTTATGTTGAGTTATATGACTGTGCCACTGGGTATAGTTTTTATGTAGTTTTCAAACAAATAAATAATGAAGAAACCAATAATTGTTTCATTTTCAAGAATTTGATATACCTCGTTCCTGTAACCCTGATAGTTAAGCCTTAGTTGCGAGAAGATGCACGCGTATTCGACTGGAGATTCCTTACGGAAATATTAAATTGCTTGGATAGGTAATTTTTTATTTGTCATTATTGTAGCAGATACGCGGGAAATATGGAAAACTTGTTCTGCTCCTGATACGTGCAACGGAGAAATTGCACATTGCCTGATTGGAAATGACAAGCATTCCAAAATGAAGTGTAAAACAAATAATAAAGAAATCAATAATTGTTTTCTTTCCAAGAATTTTTATTTGCCTCGTTCCTGTAACCCTGATAGTCAATCCTCGGTTACGGGAAGATGGACGCGTATTCGAGTAGAGCTTCCGTACGAAAATATTAAGCTGCATGGATATTTTTCTTATTTGTTATCAAGGTAACAGATACGCAAGGAGGTATGGAAAATTCGCCCTGCTTCTGATACGTGCAACGGATAAATTGCACAATGCCTGACTGGAAATGACAAACATTCCAAAATGAAGTTTATAAACAAATCAATAATAAAGAAACCAATAATTGTTTCCTTTTCAAGAATTTTTATATGCCTCGTTCCTGTAACCCTGATAGTTAAGCCTTAGTTCCGAGAAGATACACGCGTATTCGACTGGAGATTCCGTACGGAAATATTAAATTGCTTAGGTAGGTATTTTTTTTATTTGTCATTATTGTAACAGATACGCGAGGAAATATGGAAAACTTATTCTGCTCCTGATACGTGCACCGGAGAAATTGCACATTGCCTGACTGGAAATGACAAGCATTCCAAAATGAAGTGTAAAACAAATAATAAAGAAATCAATAATTGTTTTCTTTCCGATTTTGGAAGAATATTTATATTCTTCGTTTCTGTAACCCTGATAGTTAATCCTCAGTTACGGAAAGATGGACGCGTATTCGAGTAGAGCTTCCTTACGAAAATATTAAGCTGCATGGGTATTTTTATTATTTGTTATCAAGGTAACAGATACGCAAGGAGATTTGGAAAATTCGCTCTGCTCCTGATACGTGCAACGGAGAAAGTGCCCATTGCCTGACTGGAAATGACAAACATTCCAAAATGAAGTTTATAAACAAATAAATAAGAAACCAATAATTGTTTCCTTTTTAAGAATTTTTATATACCTCGTTCCTGTAACCCTGATAGTTAATCCTTAGTTGCGAGAAGATGCACGCGTATTCGACTGGAGATTCCTTACGGAAATATTAAATTGCTTAGGTAGGTAATTTTTTTATTTGTCATTATTGTAACAGATACGCGAGGAAATATGGAAAACTTGTTCTGCTCCTGATACGTGCAACGGGGAAATTGCACATTGCCTGACTGGAAATGACAAGCATTCCAAAATGAAGTGTATAAACAAACAATAAAGAAACCAGTAATTGTTTTCTTTCCGATTTTGGAAGAATATTTATATTCTTCGTTTCTGTAACCCTGATAGTTAATCCTCAGTTACGGGAAGATGGACGCGTATTCGAGTAGAGCTTCCTTACGAAAATATTAAGCTGGGTATTTTTCTTATTTGTTATCAAGGTAACAGATACGCAAGGAGGTATGGAAAATTCGCCCTGCTTCTGATACGTGCAACGGATAAATTGCACAATGCCCGACTGGAAATGACAAACATTCCAAAATGAAGTTTATAAACAAATAAATAAGAAACCAATAATTGTTTCCTTTTTAAGAATTTTTATATACCTCGTTCCTGTAACCCTGATAGTTAATCCTTAATTGCGAGAAGATGCACACGTATTCGATTGAAGATTCCCTACGGAAATATTAAATTGCTTAGGTAAGAAATTTTTTTATTTGTCATTATTGTCACAGATATGCAAGGAAATATGGAAAACTTGTCCTGCTTCTGATACGTGCAACGGAGAAATTGCACAATGCCCGACTGGAAATGACAAACATTCCAAAATGAAGTTTATAAACAAATCAATAATAAAGAAACCAATAATTGTTTCCTTTTCAAGAATTTTTATATGCCTCGTTCCTGTAACCCTGATAGTTAAGCCTTAGTTGCGAGAAGATGCACGCGTATTCGACTGGAGATTACTTACGGAAATATTAAATTGCTTAGGTAGGTAATTTTTTTATTTGTCATTATTGTAACAGATACGCGAGGAAATATGGAAAACTTGTTCTGCTCCTGATACGGAAATATTAAATTGCTTAGGTAAGTAATTTTTTTATTTGTCATTATTGTCACAGATATGCAAGGAAATATGGAAAACTTGTCCTGCTCCTGATACGTGCAACGGAGAAATTGCATATTGCCTGACTGGAAATTACAAACTTTCCAAAATGAAGTTTATAAACAAATAAATAATAAAGAAACCAATAATTGTTTCCTTTTCAAGAATTTTTATATGCCTCGTTCGTGTAACCCTGATAGTTAAGCCTTAGTTGCGAGAAGATGCACGCGTATTCGACTGGAGATTCCTTACGGAAATATTAAATTGCTTAGGTAGGTAATTTTTTTATTTGTCATTATTGTCATAGATACGCTAGGAAATATGGAAAACTCGTCATGCTCCTGATACGTGCAACAGAGAAATTGCACATTGCCTGACTGGAAATGACAAGCACTCCAAAATGAAGTGTAATAATAAAGAAACCAATAATTGTTTTCTTTCCGATTTTGAAAGAATATTTATATTATTCGTTTCTGTAATCCTGATAGTTAATACTCAGTTACGGGAAGATGCACGCTTATTTGAGTAGAGGTGCTTTACGAAAATATTAAACTGCAAGGGTATTTTTTTATTTGTTATCAAGGTAACAGATACGCAAGGAGGTATGGAAAATTCGCCCTGCTCCTGATACGTGCAACGGAGAAATTGCATATTGCCTGACTGGAAATTACAAACATTCTAAAATGAAATTTATAAACAAATCAATAATAAAGAAACCAATAATTGTTTCCTTTTCAGGAATTTTTATATGCCTCGTTCCTGTAACCCTGATAGTTAATCCTTAGTTGCGAGAAGATTCACGCGTATTCGACTGAAGATTCCTTACGGAAATATTAAATTGCTTAGGTAGGTAATTTTTTTATTTGTCATTATTGTAACAGATACGCGAGGAAATATGGAAAACTTGTTCTGCTCCTGATACGTGCAACGGAGAAATTGCACATTGCCTGACTGGAAATGACAAGCATTCCAAAATGAAGTGTATAAACAAACAATAAAGAAACCAGTAATTGTTTTCTTTCCGATTTTGGAAGAATATTTATATTCTTCGTTTCTGTAACCCTGGTAGTTAATCCTCAGTTACGGGAAGATGGACGCGTATTCGAGTAGAGCTTCCTTACAAAAATATTAAGCTGCATGGGTATTTTTCTTATTTGTTATCAAGGTAACAGATACGCAAGGAGGTATGGAAAATTCACTCTGCTCCTGATACGTGCAACGGAGAAATTGCATATTGCCTGACTGGAAATTACAAACATTCCAAAATGAAGTTTATAAACAAATAAATAATAAAGAAACCAATAATTGTTTCCTTTTCAAGAATTTGTATATGCCTCGTTCGTGTAACCCTGATAGTTAAGCCTTAGTTGCGAGAAGATGCACGCGTATTCGACTGGAGATTCCTTACGGAAATATTAAATTGCTTAGGTAGGTAATTTTTTTATTTGTCTTTATTGCAACAGATACGCGAGGAAATATGGAAAACTTGTCCTGCTCCTGATACGTGCAACAGAGAAATTGCACATTGCCTGACTGGCAATGACAAGCACTCCAAAATGAAGTGTAGTAACAAATAATAAAGAAACCAATAATTGTTTTCTTTCCGATTTTGGAAAAATATTTATATACCTCGTTCCTGTAACCCTGATAGTTAATCCTTAGTTGCGAGAAGATTCACGCGTATTCGACTAAAGATTCCTTACGGAAATATTAAATTGCTTGGATAGGTAATTTTTTATTTGTCATTATTGTAGCAGATACGGGAAATATGGAAAACTTGTTCTGCTCCTGATACGTGCAACGAAGAAATTGCACATTGCCCGACTGGAAATGACAAGCACTCCAAAATGAAGTGTAATAATAAAGAAACCAATAATTGTTTTCTTTCCGATTTTGGAAGAATATTTATATTATTCGTTTCTGTAACCCTGGTAGTTAATCCTCAGTTACGGGAAGATGGACGCGTATTCGAATAGAGCTTCCTTAAAAAAATATTAAGCTGCATGGGTATTTTTTTTATTTGTTATCAAGGTAACAGATACGCAAGGAGGTATGGAAAATTCACTCTGCTCCTGATACGTGCAACGGAGAAATTGCATATTGCCTGACTGGAAATTACAAACATTCCAAAATGAAGTTTATAAACAAATAAATAATAAAGAAACCAATAATTGTTTCCTTTTCAAGAATTTGTATATGCTTCGTTCGTGTAACCCTGATAGTTAGTCCTTAGTTGCGAGAAGATACACGCGTATTCGACTGGAGATTCATTACGGAAATATTAAATTGCTTAGGTAGGTAATTTTTTTATTTGGTATTATTGTAACAGATACGCGAAGAAATATGGAAAACCTGTCCTGCTCCTGGTACACGCAACAGAGAAATTGCGCATTGCCTGACTGGAAATGACAAGCACTCCAAAATGAAGTGTAATAATAAAGAAACCAATAATTGTTTTCTTTCCGATTTTGGAAGAATATTTATATTATTCGTTTCTGTAATCCTGGTAGTTAATCCTCAGTTACGGGAAGATGCACGCTTATTTGAGTAGAGGTGCTTTACGAAAATATTAAACTGCAACGGTATTTTTTTTATTTGATATCAAGGTAACAGATAGGCAAGGAGGTATGGAAAATTCGCCCTGCTCCTGATACGTGCAACGGAGAAATTGCATATTACCAGACTGGAAATGACAGACATTCCAAAATGAAGTTTATAAACAAATAAATAATAAAGAAACCAAT